TTATGTTTAACACCATATGAGGCATGAGGAACAAAAGACGTTTGTACCCAAGCTAGACCACAATGCACCATGTTCACTATCTCACAACACCATATAAGGCATGATGAACAGAAGACGTTTGTACCCAAGCTAGACGACAATGCACCATGTTCACTATCTCACAACGCCATATAAGGCATGATGAACAGAAGACGTTTGTACCCAAGCTAGACCACAATACACAATGTTCACTATCCTACAACACCATATAAGGCAAGAGGAACAGAAGACATTTGTTCCCAAGCTAGACCACAATGCACCATGTTCACTATCTCACAACACCACATAAGGCATGAGGAACAAAAGACGTTTGTACCCAAGCTAGACCACAATGCACAATGTTTCCTTACCTTGATGGTAGCTGAGGTGTGTCTGTAGGTGTCCATCCTTCGTCTAGAAGTCCTGAGTCATAATCAAAGGCTGATAGATCCACTTCTTCGTCATAGTTAAAATCATCATCATCATCGTCATCGTTGTAGTAATTGACAGCCTGCAATGCACTTGCTATACGCTTCCGGGCCCGGTAGCCACGGTAACAAGCCTTAAATGAAAATTATAAGTTGTATACAAATCAGATCAAGAATCTAGTATCTGGGTTAAGAAAGTGGTAGTTCATTTCTACCCTTCTATCTTTCTTTTTTTCCTTTCTTCCCTCCTTTCTACCTTTCTTTCTAACTACTGTAAACCCAAGGTGATTAGGGAAGAGACGTTTACTGTCCTACCTGTATCGTAGTAGCTGCCGCATGATCACGTGCATCCCACAATGCTTTGCGTGCTCGGGAGACACGTGACTTTCTCATGCGAGAACGTACACGGTACCCACGCCATGCTGCTTGTATTGTCACAGCTGCTAACCACTGAGGAACAAGATAAGAAAATAACAGTGTTACTTACGGCTTTTCTGATTGGAAGATAAGCGACCACTGTCCACTTTTAGTCCAGTCGCTTAATCATAAAATAGTGACATATATGGCTAAAGCACAAAATTTAGTACAGAGCTTCGTTTGATGTAAAAAACAATTTCAAAATTGATACCCAGTGAAATGAGATCGGGGGAAAGGGGAGGGGGGGTCAGATTTCACGCAAAATGGGGGGGAAATGGAATTCGTTTAATTTTAGTTGAGGAATCGTCGAAAACTAAAAACTGTCGGGTATTCAATCCGTGTCGGTTTTTTCTCTCCAACGACCTTTTTTGAAATAAGTGTACGTCAAACAAGTTGAAAATCAATTACAAAATGCTGGAGAAATCTTTAAATGTCAAGACCGTTTTAAATATTTACACGTGCTGTGAAAAATGGGTGTCAATGAAAGTAGTTTCGCACGATCATTCTATTACCTTGTTCATTTGTAAGTCTATCAGGTGTCTAACGTACCATCCACGCCATACAGACTGGATCTTGATTGCTGCTGTAGTAAGGATACTTGAATCATCAGCCAATCTGAGAAAACAACAACATAAATGGTGATGGAGATGATGGCGGTGATGACTGATGACGGTGATGATAAAGGTGATGGTGATGATGATGGCGGTGATGACTGATGATGATGGTGATGATAAAGGTGATGTTGATGATGATGGCGGTGATGACTGATGATGATGATGATAAAGGTGATGGTGATGATGATGGCAGTGATGA